AAATCTCTCGCGTTTGAGCCCCCGTAGCCGATCCTCGTGCGATGGAAATCCTTCCTCCAGGTTCCGGAGCACCCCACTTTTGCTGGAAATTCCTAACAAGATAGCCTTTAGCCGTCCTGACTCGTCATTCTCCCGCACAGTGACTCGGCACACGGGGGCAATGCACTCCCCTCGCCGCCATCTTCCCATCTCCCAAATATATATGTTTTAAGTTGTAGTTGAACACAATACTTTTATTTTTGTTTATTTATTTTTATGTGGTGCTGAGGATTGAACTCAAGGCCTGGCACTTGCTAGGCGAGCGCTATACCGCTAAGCTATAACCCAAGCCCCTGAAATGTATTTTTAAAAATATTTGGTTAGATATGGGTAAAAGAATGGATATGAAAAAAGTAAATATGCTTATGATAAAATCTAGTTGGTAGATATGTGGATGTTCACTGTAAAATTGTTTCAGCTTTTTTAAAAATATTTTAGTTGTGGGTGGATATGATATCTTTATTTATATGGTGCTGAGAATTGAACCCAGTGCCTCATACATGCTAGGCAAGCACTCTACCACCGAGCCACAACCCCAGCCCTATTTCAGCTTTTTTATATGTTTGAAATTTTCATACCAAAATGTTTGGAGGGGCAAATAATACCTAATACTTGTTTTGTTTTATGTTTGATGCATAAACAGTCTTTACTGGGCTCAGACAGGAAGTCCATGGGTCTTGAAAAGACCTCTTTGTACATATGGTTTTCTTTTTGTTGTTTCGTCTTAAAAAGTTTTTTTTGCCCTTATAATTTTTTAAACACTGACTATATAGTTGATCCCCTTAAGGCTTGATAAGACTTGGTACCTGGAGCAGGGACACAGCCATCAACCTTTTTTACCTTGAGTTTTAGATACTTTGATATAGAGTTTTGCTAAACTGCTTAGGGCCTTAGTCTGATTTTCCCACTCAATTCTGGTTCTACCCTATCTTAGTAGCCATCACATAGTGTCGCCACCTTAAGAGCTTTTTGGAAAAGTGATAAAAGATAACATGGGCAAAAATAAAAGTTTTTATTCTACTCAGGGAGAAAGCAGTATTGGTTAGGAAGGTTCTGCGTGCAAATAACAGAAAATCCAAGGAAAAATGACTTCCACAGTAAGAGGGTTTACTATCTTATATAACAGCAATCTGGAAGCAGAACATGTCCAGGATTTCAGGATTCCAGTTCAACTTTTTTGTGATTTTCATGACTTTTCCTGGATATCAGTTAGCTACTGCAACTCCACACATTGGGTTCTTGCCCAACAGCATCTAAAAGAAAGAAGGGGAGACTTTTTATGTTGTATTTCTTTTTAAGAACAAGGAAAACAATCCTGAAAAGTCTTCAATACACTTTATATCACACATTCCTACTTAAACCTACCACTAGGAAAGGGGATAGAATTACCACGATGGTCTAAACTCTTTGACATCCTCCCCTGGAATGGAGGAACGCAAAATCTGAACAAAATTAAGGTTCTGTTAGCCTGAGGAAGAGACAAGTGGCCTCAAAACCAGATTCGAAATTTTGGTTATTAAAAACATAATTTGAGGAGCTGGGGCTCAGTGGTAGCGTAGTTGCCTGGCACGTGTGAGGCACTGGGTTCGATTCTCAGCACTGTATATAAATAAATAAAATACAGATCTGTAAACAACTAAAAACATGTTAGGGGTAGGGGGGACATAATTTGAGCTGGGCACAGTGGCATATGCCTGTAATCCCAGCAACTGGGGAGGCTGAGGCTGAAGGATCACAAGTTCAACACCAGCTTCAGCAACTTATCAAGGCCCTAAGCAGTTTAGCAAAACTCTATCTAAAAGTAAGAAATAAAAAGGCTGGCAATGTGGCTTAATTGTTAAGTGTCTGGGTTCTATTACTGGTACAAAACAAAACATAATTTGAAATGTTCTAGTTTTCTATTAGTAGGTAGGGTTTCTGTCAATAATGGTAATGTTCTATGCATTTCCAGTAAAACTAGAAGAAGAGTTTTTTAATGTTATCTGAATTTAAAAAACATAATTTGAAAAACATAAAATAAATGTATTCATGTGTGTGTGTGCGCGCGCGCGCGCATGCAAGCGCGCCTGGGATTGGACCCAGGGGTGCTTAACCACAGAGCCCCATTTCTAGCCCTTTTTATATTTTATTTTGAGATAGTCTCTTGGTACATTGCCGAGGATCTCGAACTTGCAGTCCTTCTGCCTCAGCTTTCCAAGTTTCTGAGATTATAGGCATGTGCCACCATGCCTGGCTAAAATTAATATACTTTTAAGGCTTAAAATATACATATATATATAAAATAAAAAGTGAAAATATATCCTCATCCTATTTTTTTCCCTCCTAATTTCACGCCTCTGATAAAACCACTATCAGTAACTTGTGGGGTATAGTTTCAAACAGCTTACAGGGGCTGAAGATGTGGCTTAAGTGGTAGCGCGCTCGCCTGGCATGCGTGCTGCCCGGGTTCGATCCTTAGCACCACATACAAACAAAGATGTTGTGTCCGCTGAAAACTAAAAAAAAAACTAAATATTAAAATTCTCTCTGTCTCTCTCTCTCTCTAAAAAAAAAAGAAATCAATATAAACCTACTACCATAGTTTTGTTTTTTCCCCTAAATTTAGGTTCATACTAAACATATTGTTTGCAAGTTGATATTTTCCCTCAATTATCTGTTAAACACATTTTTTCATGTCTGTGTATAGCTTTCCCTTGAAAATTATTTCATATTATACATCATCATGGCCCTTTTGGTGGTCATTGAAGAGGTTGTCTCCAGTTTTCCCCATTACTAATAATGCAGTAGCTATCCTATCCCACTTTTTAATTTTTTATGATGAATTTCAGTTATATGTGAAAACAGACCAGGATAATGAACCCCCATACACCTATCACCTTTCATCAGTTGTCAACATTTTGCTTCTCTTGTTTTATCCTTCCTTCTGTCCCTATTTTTAGTTTTTGGGGAAGCACTTTAAAAGCAAATCTCAAACCTAATTTCACCCATGAATACGTAAGCAATCACTAACCTTTTTTTGTGTATGTGTGTATTTTTAATTTTGAGATTAAGGTCTCACTAAGTTGCCTAGGATCTTGCTAGATTGCTGAGGCTGGCCTCGAACTTGGCAATTCTCCTGCTCCAGCCTCCTGTGTTTTTTTGTTTGTTTGTTTGTTTGCTGGGATTATAGGCATGTGCCACCTTGCCTGGCTCGCTTAGCATGTTTTCATGGTTATCATATTGTAGCACATATCAATACTTCATTCTTTTTTATGGCTATTTTATCAGTATGCCACACTTTATTGATCTATTCATTAGTTGGTAAATATTTGAGTTGTTTAGACCTTTTGGTTATTGTCAGTAATGCTACTGTGAACATTTTTATTTACAAGTTTTTGTTTGAATGCCAGTTTTCAGTTCTTTAGGATAATATACCTAGGAGAGGGATTGGTGGATCCATTGGTATTTGTTTTTGAAGAACTATCATACTATTTTCCACAATGGCTGCTCCATTTTACATTCCCATCAGGAGTGTATAAAGATTCTAATTTCTCCATATTCTTGCCAATACTTGTTATTTTCTGGGTTTTTGAAATTATAATCATCCTAAGTCTGTGTGAAGTAAACTTGGTTTTGGTATGCCTTTATGATGTTGAACTTTTTTTTATGTTCTTAATGGCCATTTTTATATTTTTTTTTGGAGAATGAGCTCTCTCTCCAAGTTCTTTGCCCTTTTTTTTATTTAGAATGGTTTGTCTTTTTTATTTTGGTTATCAGTATTCCTTGTATATTTTGGATCCTAGACACTTTTTAATTTCTTCCATTACGTGGATTATTTTTACTTCCTTATAGTATCCTTTTATGAACAAAAGCTTTTAATTTTTATGAAGTACATTTTTACATGTTTTTGTTGTTGTTGCATGCACCTTTGATATTCTAGACTTTTTTTGTGTGTGTGTGCAGGGGATTAAATCTGTAGCTTCATATACACTAGATACACTAAGCAATTGCTCTACTGCTAAATCAATCCCATAGTCCCCATCCACTCTTTAAAATATTTTTTTAGTTGTAGGTGGACACAATATCTTTATTTTATTTATTTATTTATTTTTTATGTGGTTCTAGGGATTGAACTCATGCCTCATGCATGTGAGGCAAGCACTCAACCACTGATCTACAACCCCAGACCCCAATCCACTTTTTTTGGTACTGGGGATTGAACTCAGGGGCACTTGACTACTGATCCATATTCCCATCCCCATTTTGAATTTTATTTAGAGACAGGGTCTCACTGAGTTGCTAACACCTCGCTGTTGCTGAGGCTGGCTTTTTGAACTCAAAATTCTCCTGTCTCAGCCTCCCAAGCAGCTGGGATTACAGGCGTGCACCACCATGCCCGGCTCCCCCCATCCACTTTTGAAAGTATATATTGTGTTGTTTAAAATGAATTGCCAATTAAATTTTTCATAAATACATAGATCTGCCCATTTAAATATACTTTTTTCTCATACCTTCATCCATACTATATGTATGTATGTGTATATAATATGTGTGTATGTGTATATTTTATATTATATGTATATACACACACACTTTTTTCTTTTCCCCAGTACTGGGGATTGAATCCAGGGTTATTCTACCTCTAAGCTATGTCCCCAACCCTTTTTATTTTTTACTTTACAACAAGGTTTCACTAAATTGCCCAAGCTGGCTTCAAATTTTTTATTTCTTCTACCTTTGCCTCTCAAGCTGCTGGGATTACATGTGTGCTCCACCACACCCAGTCCATACTATATATTAATCAGTCTTACTCTTTCTAGTTTTTGATAATTTGACAGGTAAAAAATAATTTAATTTGCTTTTTCACCATGATTAATTTATTTACTTTATTACATTATATTTCTTCTAATTGTAGACACTCAAATATATGTTGAATGAATGTTCATATCTTTTGCTTTTTATCTTTTTAATTGGCCATCCAGATGCTACATTTATGTGTGACAAGCGGTGTAACAAGAAACGGTTGTGTGGACGGCATAAATGTAATGAGATATGCTGTGTGGTAAGTGGATTTATCATTAGGCATAATTAGATTCCATTCATCTAGGCACCAGGCTCTAGAAACCTCAGCCATCTGGAATGTGGCCCAGATTTAGATATCAATAGGAAGGGCCTGTAGGCAAGAAAGAGCTCTCATAGTCCCCAAACTGCTCAGCAGAGATAGATAAAACATTTTTAGACCTCAGCCAGGTCAAGAAATCAACCAGTGGTAGCATGAAGGAATTTAAAAAGGAAAGACAAAATACCTTGGACCCCAGAGCCCAAGACCTAGATGAGCACACAGTCCAACACACTATTATGGACTTAGCAACTGCATTTTATATACTCATTGGGCCAAGTCAGTAGGCAAAATGAATATAACTTTTTTTTTTTTCTATTTGTCAGTAGACCTTTATTTGTTTGTTTGTTTGTTTGTGTGTGGTGCTGAGAATTGAACCCAGTGCCTCACACATACCAGCAAGTGCTGTACCACTCTGAGCCACAACCTCACCCCTGAGTATGGCATTTTACAGGAGTAAGTTATATACACAAATGTGTACATACAAAGTAATAGCACCAATAACAAGGTAATACATAATTGTCATTTAAAAAAATGTATATATTGACAAGGTGAAGAATGATGAAATTGTGCTTTCTACCAAGATTGATAAGTCAGTGTTTGAAGGCCTAAATGCTTTTGATTATCAAAAATTAAGCATATACAAAAGCAGTGACATTAGTATAGTGACTCACATGTACATAACATCCAGCTTCAGTAGTGCCCAAATCATGGCTAATCTTGTTTTATCCATACCCTAACCGACTTCCTCCTCCCTGGTTATTTTGAAGCTATTCCTAGACATTATTTCATACTTAATTGTATAAAGCTTTGTTTTTGCAAGTTAATCTTATTTATAGAAAATATAAAATGGAGACCATTTTGTGAACAAATAGAAATCTCTCCCCTCAGGATAAGGAGCACAAGTGTCCTTTGATTTGTGGGAGGAAACTTCGTTGTGGCCTTCATAGGTGTGAAGAACCTTGTCATCGAGGGAACTGTCAGACATGCTGGCAAGCTAGTGAGTGTCTTCACTGTATACTTAGTTATGAGAGTTTCCTAGAAACTCAGGCATACTAAATTTTGAGATTTGTTTGCTTAGATTGATGTGCATTATTGAACTAAATCTTAGTATTTCAGACATGTTGAGGTTTTTTTAAAGTTATTTTTTATTGCTGTCTTACAGTCCCTGGATGTATGAAACTTGAGATGTGAGCAGTGACCCTGAGATAAGGGTTAATTCACTAATGGATTCCTCTTCTGATAACTCTCTTCTATATATTATTGACCTAGCTTCTGCCCTTGGCAGTCTTCTATATTAGCAGTGTTATTAGCAGCAGTTAGTAAGCTATTTGGTCTTGGGACACATTTATATTCTTCAAACTATTGAGGACTCTGAAGAGCTCTTTTCTGTGAGTTATATCTATTGATATCTATCATATTAGAAATTAAAACTGAGATATATAAGCAGTTGATTTATTATTTCATTTTTTTAAGATAGAAAAGAGAGAGAAAGAGAGAATTTTTTAAAATTTATTTTTCAGTTTTCGGTGGACACAACATCTTTATTTTATTTTTATGTGGTGCTGAGGATCGAACCCAGCGCCCCCGCATGCCAGGCGAGCACATTACCGCTTGAGCCACATCCCCAGCCCTGTTATTTCATTTTAAGATAATAGTAATATATGCATTGCAGGTTAACATTAATCACTTTTTTAATTTAAAAAAATCTCTACTTTGAAAAAAATACACTATTGGATGCCTGGCTTAATACAAGATAGCTGTAATCTCATATCAGCTTCTGCATTTTATCTGTTACAGTGCAGTTGAGGCATATAAAAAAAAATCCAGCCTCACATAGATAGCTATTTGGAAGAGTGAAGAATGTTTTTTAAACTTTCTTGAATAATTGTGGATACTGTTCTTTGGTGTTATACCAAAACTCAACCTCATTACAGAAACGACATGAGTTAGTATTGTTTTTATTCTGTCACATTAAAATACATTGGTCTCTCTTGTACTTTGAATGGATCTTTTACCCATGCTTGATTTTATAATACAATACACTGATCATTTGGCAGATAAATATTCCCTGGGTTATTCAGATCTTTGAAATATTGACAAATTTTGTGTAATAGTAAAAACTAATTTGTAATAGTAGAAACTCATAGTCATTAATATAACCTTCTAATAGAAATGTGTTGGGGAAAGTATTGGGGAGTTGTCAGACTCAGAGTGATAAGTAGAACACTTGATATCTGTTTGTGCCTTTTTCACCCGGTCAACTTTAATAAAATAAAAGCTTAATAAAATAGAAACCTTTTTATTTTTAAAATAGCCCTCTTCCAAATTATCTAAAACCACAAACAACAATAAATGTTTGCATCTTCATTTAATATGGCATCCACATCCCAAACTAAACAAGGGATTTTTTTGCCTTATCTACCAGGTTTTGATGAATTAACCTGCCACTGTGGTGCATCAGTGATCTACCCTCCAGTTCCTTGTGGTACTAGGCCTCCAGAGTGTACCCAAACCTGTGCCAGAATCCATGAATGTGAACATCCAGGTGAGTCCCATCTTCCCTACCTCACAGCCTGCTCATACCATGTCACTGAGGATGTTGCCATGTAACTGTCTTCATGTGCTGAGGTCATGCTGAGATGGCAGTCCCTTGCTCACTGTGCTTCTGTGAAGGTGAGTCTATTATCAGGGCTCCAGTTTGGACCCACAGCAAAGTCTATTGCTTTATTCTGTGATTTTTCAGACACACCCAGAAGGGTGGAAGAACCCCTACTTGGTCTTGTCTTTCAAGGACTTTTCTTTGTGACCTCCACTTTTGGTGCATATTTCAAAGTTGAACATCTTTTGACAAAATTAAGAGTAACTTGAGGGGCTGGGTTTGTGGCTCAGTGGTAGGGCACTTGCCTAGCATGTGCGAGGCCTTGTGTTTGATTCTCAGCACCATATAAAAAATAAATAAAATAAAGGTATTGTCCAACTACAATTAAAAAATAAAATAACGGGTTTTTGCTGTTACAGAAGCAATGTATATTAAATAAAATAAAGCAAGAATAAAAGTAATGAAGTCAAAAGGTTAACATTAAGTTGTTAATTATATCATCTCCTAAGAATTAGATACATTTTTCTCTTTATCACTAAGATTTTCTACAATATGGGGTATGTGTGTAACTGGAAATTGAATCCAGAGCTTCATACATGCTAGGCAAACACTCTAATGCCAATATAGATTTTTAATGACAATAGAGTACTCTGTTACATGAATCGGCCAGTTTATTTAATCAGTCTTGTGTTGCTGGACATTTGAGTTCTTTCCACTTTTTCTCTGATAAACTGCTTTTGACACCACCCCAAAAACTACTTGACATCAGTCATTTTTCATATCTGTCTAGTCCAGTTGCTGACTTTTTCCTAGGACTGTATTGTGCCCATTGTTTGTTTTATTTTATTTTTCCATCATTTTATTTTAACAAGCCTCAGAGACAAACTTAAAATAATCAAGGCCCCAGATTTAATACTTTCAGTGAACTCTGATCATATGATTCAGACTTACAATAATAGACCTCTTTTTTTTTTTTTTTTTTTTTTTAATTAATAGACTAAAAAGAATAAGCAAATTCCTCATGAAATAAAAAGTCCCTTTCTTCCCTGGAACCTTAGGATGTCCAGCCCTCCCAGCAAAGTTTATACTCATACTACAGTGTTCACACAATCATGAAGTAAGTGTCCAGGCCACACGCAACCCCAACCCCTTTTTTCAACGAAGTTCAAAACCTGCTGGGTAATGTCCTTAGTAAGAACTTAACTGCTTGTGAATTATGTTGTTTTGGCCTGCTTTTGTTCTGCATTCGTTGCCATTTTCTTGAGTGTTTGTTGTATATTCAGCATGGTATCAAAGCTTCCGAGGAATTTTTTTAAAAACCCATAGCTTTGAGGTTCTTGTGTTTTCCCTGGGAGGAAGAGAATGGTAATTAAGTACACACAACACAACCAACTTGTATGTACATGAACCGGATGGCATGGCAGCAAGCCTTACAGAGAATGTGAGGGAGCTTAGGATAGAGTGTGGTCAGTCAAGAAAAGTTTTGTTGTAGGGGACAAGTTTTAGTGAAGTACCTCTTACTGACAATAATGATATCGAAAGGAGTCAGCATAATTATTTTAGATGGAATACGTGGCAAAGGTATCTGTGTACCAGTGAGCAGTTGTAGCATAAGGTAGAGTGAAAATAATAATGTAGTAAAATGAACAGACCAGGTGACTGTCTGCAGGACATGGTGAGAAAGCTGTCACCTCTCTGCTTCTAGCATTTGGCATATTTCTTCCCATCTTGATTTGGTTTCTCTTTCCCACTCATCTCATCTTTCAACACTTTATTGTAAAACCAGGTGCTTTTTATGTTCCTCTGTCCACTTAGAAAAAATAGTCCCTGCTCCAGAATTTAAATGTTCTATTTCATATGCTGTTTACAATATATAGACCTACATGCATATGTTATAACACGTAAATGTTATAAATGGCATATATGTGTGGCTTTGCTTAGAAATCATACCTAATGGGGCTGGGATTGTGGCTCAGCTATAGAACGCTCGCCTAGCACCGGCGGGACCCAGGTTCGATCCTCAGCACCACATAAAAATAAAGGCATTGTGTTGTGTCCATCTACACCTAAAAAATAAATTAATTAATTAATTTTTTAAAAAAAGAAATCATACCTAATATTACCTTTCTTTTTCTGCAGTATATCATTCTTGTCATAGTGAGGAGAAATGTCCCCCTTGTACTTTCCTAACTCAGAAGTGGTGCATGGGCAAACATGAGGTAAGTTTTCTCTCAGGTGTTCGTTGTTCCAGCCAGAGATTTATAATTTAATTACTTAAGAGCTGTTAGTTTGATCATTTCTCAAACTAAACTTCCTCCAAGAAGAAGCTTTCTGTTGCCACTTTTTTCCTTTTTTTTTTTTTTTTGTTGTTGTTGTTGTTGTCTGTCCCAATACTGTAGTTCTTTCCAGAATATCACAAAAGTGAAATCATTGAGTAGGTAGCAGTTTGAGTCTGTTTTATCATTCTCTAATCTCATTACAACTAATGAAATTCAGCCTAGTTGACCTTGAGAACACATGCTATATTCAAAAACAGAACTTCTAAGTTAACTGGCATGAAAGTGGAGTTGCTAGCCTAGGAAGAAGTATTTCAATAAGAGTAGAAATGGACTGTATCCTAGCTGCCCGGTTTGTTCTCTCATCCCTATGCAACTCCCCATTCCCAACCACTGGACTCAAATGCCTTCCTCCAGTCTTATTACCAGTACCCTGAAGGACTTCCACTCTCATTCTTAATCTCTAAGCCATATTTGACATTGTCCACTATAAACCTTTAAATGCTTGAAATTTCTATTTTAAAAATGCATATTTAGGGCTGGAGTTGTGGCTCAGAGGTAATGCGCTCACCTAGCATGCATGAGGCACTGGATTCAATCCTCAGCACCACATGAAAATAAAATAAAGATTTTTTTAAAAAGCATATTTATCATAGATAATTTAGAAAATAAAGTTCTGCTTCCAAGAGAGTACTTTACAGGTGGGCAAGAAGGGAATTAGTACTGGGGATTGAACCCAGTATGTGTGTGCTATGTAAACTTCCTACCACTGAGCTATACCCCAGCCGAAGAAAGAGATATATATCCTTTAACATTCTTGGTGTATAATCTACCAGGCATGTGTTGATACAGATACATACTTTCCCCTACTCTGATTAAGATAATATTGTTTTGTAACCTGATCTTTTTACTCCATAACACATTAGCCAACATTTCTTGAAATTCTCTTGACATCTGTAACAACATGCTTTTAGTATTATTTTCTTATCTTGATGGACATATTTTTCTCCACTTATTTCCTGTGAGTAGTTCTCAAGTCATAGTCCTTCATATTTATCTCCTCTATAAATCTCATTTCCTCTGCGAATTTATCCATTCTAAGACATCTATGTGTCATCTTTGTATTGATGACTTAGCCACACTTCTTTCAACAAATATTGAGTATCTACTATGTGCTAGGTAATAGGTTTGGCATATTCAGAAGTTAACAACACTAGGGCTAGGGTTGTAGCTCAGTAGTAGAGTGCTCATCTTGCATGTGGAAGGCACTAGATTCGATCCTCAGCACCACGTAAAAATAAAATAAAGGCACTGTGTCCATCTCAACTAAAAATATATATATGTATATGTATATATGTGTGTGTGTGTGTGTGTGTGTGTGTGTTTGAAGAAGTTAACTAGCCAAGTGTACTGGCACACACTATAATCCCAGTGACTCAGGAAGCCTCAACAGCTTAGCAAGGCCTTGAGCAACTTAGTGAAACCCTGTCTCAAAAAATAAAGAGGGCTGGAGATGTGGCTCAGTGGTTAAGCATCCCAGTACCAAAAAGAAAAAGAAGTTAACAAGATTGACATGACCCTGCCCTTGTGCGACCTTCACTTGGGTGGGAAGCAGACAGGGAAACAGGCAATTATAAATGCAGTAATGTGGAAAATACAGAATACTGAAGGGGTGAAGGGGTCTTGAAGGCATTTGGGGGACATAACATACTGAATGATCATGAGGAGGTAGGTAAGCAATGTGGGGAGAAGATGACAGAGGATAGACCATTAGCCAGAATTTATGCCCTGATACTAGAATAGGTAAATGTTTAATGATTAGGAACTATATTCTACCCAAATACTAATTCCAAAACAATTGGAAACATATGTCCTCTTCAAAAGTTATATGTCACTGAAGTTGAAGTGTATTCCTCATTTTGAGGGTTCTTGAAGGAATTTGAGTGAATATGTGAGAGTAAACTTTGGATCCACAGAAGTAAAATTTTAAGACATTTTTCCTACAGTGGGGAAATCTGGAACCATGCAATTTCTTAAGAAAAAATAAATTGGGGGTTACTATTGCCTCTTATTTTTTTTAAATGACAGGGCTGCCTGAAGTTATGAGACAATTATTTGGAAGATGTGAGGAGAATTGAATATTAAGCACATAAAAGAGTCCTGCCACCTATCTCAGAACCCTAGGCCAAGATTCTCCCCAGCCCCAGCATGTAAAATGGTTAGTCTGTCGACTTGGTGCCTTCATAGTCTAAAAAAGCAAGATGTCTTCTGATCCTCCCAGTTTAGTCATAGAATTTTGGTTTTTTAAAGTTTTCCCATGTTTTTTTCTTTATTTTAATGATGTTTTATTAGTGCATTATAGTTATACATAATAGTGACTTCATTTTGACATAATTATATATGCATGTAATATAATTTGCTCCATTTCAGTCCCCAGTACTTTGTATTTCCCTACCCTCCTCTCTCCCCGTCCCTTCTTTTACTATACTGGTCTTTCTTCTATTTATTTATTATTTTTTAATTGGCACTTTATAGATAGAAATAAAGTTGGAATTCACTGTGATATATTAATATATGTACATGATATAATTTTGGTCAGTTTCATTCCACAGTTCCTCCCTTTTCTCATCCCTCTTCCCTTACCCTCTGTTCCCTTTCTCTACACCACTAATCTGCCTTCTTATTTTCATGCTCCTCCTCCTTTTTTCCTTTCCTTATTGGTCATAGCAGTTGTTTGTTTGTTTTCAAGTATCTTTAGTTGTAGACAGACACAGTACTTTTGTTTATTTATTATGTGGTGCTGAGGATCGAACCCAGTGCCTCACATGTGCGAGGCAAGTGCTCTACCACTGAGCTACAACCCAGCCCAGTCATAGCAGTTTTGAAGTACTTCCTAGTTATCTGATTTAATTTCCTGTTGCCTACCTTAGAAAGTTTATCTCAGGTCACACTTAGCTGCTGCCAAAAATATTTTGGATCATAGCAAACATAATTATTATTAAAGTTCACATTTGTTTTCTTGTCAAACTACTCCTTTTTTACTTTGAAAATCAAATTAATTGTTTTCAAATAAAAAGAACAAAGTTCAAAAATGTTCTAAAGGTAAATTAAATCTCACCCACATCCCACACCGAGATGAGAATCTGGCTACTTCTGTCTTTCCTAGTTACGAAGCAACATCCCCTGTCACCTGGTTGATATCTCTTGCGGATTACCCTGCAGTGCTACGCTACCATGTGGGATGCACAAGTGTCAGAGACTTTGTCATAAAGGAGAATGTCTTGTGGATGAGGCCTGCAAACAGCCCTGCACCACCCCCAGAGCTGACTGTGGCCACCCATGTATGGCATCTTGCCACCCCAGCTCACCCTGTCCAGTGACTGCTTGCAAAGCCAAGGTGGGTATTTCTGACTTCAGATGGAACACTGACTCTGGGGCTGCTAGGGAATCCAGAACTGACTAAGCAGACCCTGGCCATGCACCTTAATCAGTCAGGAAACATTGGTTGCAAGGAACTCCAAGTTAAGGTAGCAAGAGAAAGATGGTATAAATCATAAAGATTTCTATTTGCCAACTTGGTATGGCCTTTTAGTTCAGCAGATACCCTACTGTCATCTGACCACATTCTGTGTCTCCCTTCAGTCACATTCTCAGAAGACCCTGTCAACTCCATTTATTCAATAAATGTATAATGTCTGAGTATTTAAAAAAAAAAAAATTGTATGAGGTAATAAACATGGTCCCTTATAATTTGATGGTCCAGATACTAAGTAATTAATCAGATAGATCAGATATGGTATCATAGAGGAGTAGTTATATCCTTAGAGAGGGTGCTGTGGGAGCATGTAGGAAACTTGGCTGGATATGAGGGATCAAGCAAGGCCATCTAGAATGGGTGAAAGCAGATGAATCTGGTGGTATTGGCTAGACCTCAATTGGTTGCCCCTAGTGCAAGTGTCCGCCTCTGGTTCAGTGGTATAAACTTCATTCTGAGCCTTCATGCCGGATTAAGAACAGAGTAGTTTCTAGAAAGGGGCATTATATATAGGACACATCCCTCCTAGCATGTCAGCTACCGCATTTTCAATTTACATGTGTTAGCTAGGAACAGTGGCACACATCTATAATCCTAGATGCTCAGGAGGCTGAAGCAGAAGGATCATAAGTTCAAGGCCAGCCTCTGGAACTTAGCAAAACCCTGTCTCAAAAATAAATTTCTTTGGTCGGAGTGGGTGTACCAGGGATTGAACTCAAAGGCACTCAACCACTGAACCACATCCCCAGCCCTGTTTTGTATTTTATTAGTGACTGGGTCTCACTGAGTTGCTTAGCGCCTAGCTAAATTGCTGAAGCTGGCTTTGAACTCACAGTCCTCTTGCCTCTGGCTCCCAAGCCGCTAGGATTACAAGCATGCATCACCACATCCAACCAAAAATAAATAAATAAATTTTTAAAGGGGATGGGGATGTAACTCAGTGGTAGAGTGCTTACTTACCTAGCATGTGTGAGGCCCTGGGTTCAATCCCATTAACACATGCACACAACAAAGAAAATGCACATGTGTTAGCTTCTTCCATCTTGGAATGTGGCTGCTCACTGACTCTCTTGCCATGGTTTGGTTTAAGAAAACTCTTAGAAGCAAAGCCTGCTTAACACATGATTCACATGTACTAAGAGTCGTTCCATGTTAATTTTATTTCAGGTAGAGCTACAGTGTGAATGTGGACGAAGAAAAGAAATGGTGATTTGCTCTGAAGCATCCAGTACCTATCAAAGGTTAGTGCTACAGAAATGTTAACAATTGGTAGATGTAGGTGAAGGGGATTCATGTGCTTATTGGAAGATCCTTGCAAGTTTTCTAAAAGTAAGAGAATCTTTTTCTTTTCCTCTCTCTCTCACTTTTCCCCTTTTGGTCTTATTAAACTATGAGATAAAGAAAAGATATCCTGAAGTTAGATAAATTGCTTTAATATCCACTGCCTATAGGTGCCCCTTCCCCAGTCAAGGTTTTCTAATTGTTCTGGGAGGGATCTTTTTAGCCTTTTAAAGTCTTGGAATTTGTGTGGTCATACAGGGATCTGAGTGCAGGGATGGAGGTGTTAGGGAATGACTGTTATGGGTGTCTCTGATTAGATGTTGAGGTAGGCCTTAGATATAGGACTTTGCAAATACACAAACATCAAATTGGCTATTTATGAAAACCTGCTGAGTGCTGGGCATTGGCCTGAATACTCAGGTATACTGAGGAGTTGGGTTACTTCATCACTTCCTGTGTAGCTGCTTAAAACCTAGTGAAGACTCATGACACAAACAGTAGGTAGTTTGTAAGATAGGATTCCAAGGCCACACAAACTGTCTTGTGGTGGATTGGCTTTAAAAGCGGTGTTCTGTGTTTCTAGCATGGGGAGTTTCTTGTGAAACTGCAATGTCTATTCTCTTTTCAATATTTCAGAATAGCTGCTATTTCTATGGCCTCTAAAATAACAGACATGCAGCTTGGAGACTCAGTGGAGATCAGCAAGTTAATTACCAAGAAGGAAATTCAACAAGCCAGGTAATTTTAAAAATGTGTAAGGTGCCTTCTTTCTCTAATTAGACTTGGTTTCTCATGGGTAGGGCACATTCATTTATTTCAGTCTCCCACAATGGAGCTCATTCACAGCAGGTATTCAATACACTTTGATGTTGAGACCATACCCACTCCAAACCCAAGGAGTCCCACTCAAGATGTAGCTAAGACCAGAGGATATTTTCCAGTTTCACTTTAGACAGTTGATAGAGGAAGCAGAGTCCTAGATGTGCCCAGCCCAGCCCACAGGAAAACAGAGAATCAGAGTGGTGGCTGAATATAAGAAGGGAGGTGGGACTGCCAGAAGGGTCCCTGGGGAGCATTTTGAAGGCAGAGCATCCAGAGAACATGCCCATTGAGAACTCCTAGATTCCCATAACCTAGAGACCAGGGGAAACAATGAGATTCACAGGGCAGGAGTTGCTAATGAAACCTGAAAAGTAGGTGACCTCACAAGCCTCACAAGCTGGCCTGAAGAAAAGTCCTTTGGCAAGAGTGTGCTGTGTCTTCAAGTGATCTAAGTAAGACTTTCTTGCTGGATAGGAACTGTAGAATCTGTGTCCTGACTAATTTTTTTTCATTTGCTTATCAAGGCTAGAGTGTGATGAGGAGTGTTCAGCCTTGGAAAGGAAAAAGTAAGTGGTTTCAACAGCTTGTTATCTAATTGTCACTGAGCCCTATTAATTAATGGGAGGAAGCAACCCTTTTGTCACTCAACATCTACTCTGAGTCTTTCACTGCTGTCAGAAAGAGAAATATGATCATCAAGAATTGAATTGTCTAAGGATAAACTACTCAGGTAGTTTCAGCGTATTTCAGAAGCATGAGCTGGGTGGATTTGGGCATGATGCCACAACATAATTATTTAGTGACTGGCCAACTTCCTGATTCCAACAGAGGTAACAATCTTAAAATGAATTCTGCTCGGGATGTGGCTCAAGTGGTAGCGCCCTCGCCTGGCATGCATGAGGCACTGGGTTCAGCACCACATAAAAGTAAAATGAAGATATTATGTCCACCTAAAACTAAAAAATAAATATTTTTTTAAAAAATGAATTCTTTGTATTGAAGTACAACATATAAGTGTAAAGATCAGTGGGCTACAGTTGTATAAACAATACTGAAGTCAAGAAGTAGAAAATTATCGGAGTCCTCTCATGTAGCCCACAAAATTGTCTGTCCTGACTTTAACACTTGAATCTTGTCTGTTTTTGAACTTTATATAAGTGAAATCATATGGTTTGTGTTTGGTTTCTTTCATTACATTTGTGACACTCATTTCTGTTGTTGCAAGTAGCAACACTGAATTCATCTTCGTTTTTGCGTATTATTGCATTAATATATCAGTAACCATTCTGCTATTGGGCTGTTTCAAATAATGCTGTTAAGAACTTCTTCTTTTGTGAGGTGCTAGGGATTGAACCTGGGATCTTGCACTTACTTTCCAAGCACTATGCCTCAGAGCTACATTCCCAGCCCCCAAGAATATTTTTATTCTTGCTTTGCTATATATACATATTTGTTTCCACTGGATATAAACTTAGGAGTATAATTGTTGATTAATAAGGTATGCCTATGTTCAGCTTTAATAGATTCTTCCAAGTGTTCAAATTGGTTGTGCCAAACTACAGTGCTTTCAGCAATGATGCTGTTCAAAGTTCCCTTGCTGTGACTCTCATGGCAATTTTCTAGCGAGTGCTGTTCAAACCCATGCCCTTTTAATAACCATCAGTTAGTATTCTTAGTTGTAAAATGTGAAGTAGGAGTCCCAGATGTTCAGAAATGTTCTAAATTCACAGGTGTCCAAAATATGAAAATATGTCTTTGTGTAATTGAGTGGTAGTATTATATAGTAGTCTGAGCTGTCCAGAGCTCCAGAGTCGGATTATCTAGATTTGAATCCTATCTTTACAAATCATGTAGCTTTATAACCTTCAGCAAGTCACATATTCTCCCTAAGCTTTAATTTTTGTTAAAAATTTGTATAATAGTGACAATGATAATATCTACTTCCCAGAGTTTTTGTGAGGATTAATATATTAAAATGAAGGAAGACATATAAGGCTCTTGCCACAAGCCTGACACATAGTAGTTGCCCAGTAAATATTAGTTACTGATTTAAACTGGCTTTTTTTTTTTTTTTGGCACAGTGCTGGAGATAGAATCCAGGGCCTTGCACATGCTAGACAAGTGATCTACCAAAGAAAAGAAATGCAAATTTTAAAAAGAAAACTCAATCTAAAGTTAAAATATATGTATATTTCTATTGCAAAAATCAAAAACTAACAGGCCAAATTCAGCTCATAGACAGGTTTTAATTAGTGTTTAAATTTGAATTGGTGGCCTACTAATAAAAACATCAAAGGATCACCCTCCAAGAATTCTGAAAATTAAGACTGTTTAAAAAACAAAAAATAGGAAAATTTAAGCCATTGCATAGCATGTGTCTATAAACCCACCTGCTCAGGTGGCCAAGGCAGGAGGATCACCTGAGCCCATGAGTTTTGAGACCAGCTTAGGCAAGATAAGGAAACCGTGTCTTAAACAAACAAATACGGTACGTATGTTTCCCAGTGAAATTCTTTCTGCTTTTATTTTCCAGATTTTTGTGATGGGATTTTAATTTTGGTGTTTATATGTCCATTTTATGATTTGTTTTTTTTTTTTTTTTTTTTGATGCTGGGGATCAGACCGAACACATTGTGCATGTTAAATATGCAGTCTGCCACAGAGCTACCTTCCTAGCTTAGGTACCTATGTTAAGCCTCAGAGAAAGTCATTCCCCATTGACCATTTCCAGTAATGTCATACACCAGCCTTCTCTTCCCCAAATAATAAAAATCTCTAATATTCAGCTTGCTCAGACCCACATAGGTCTTTTTTTGTTTATTTTATTCTATGAAGACGATACCACATCTTGTTTTCTTTTTTTAGTCATCCATTTTACTGAAATCAAATGGCTAATATATAAGGAACTTAGGACATTGTAATCCCTGTATATTATTACAGTAGTCACCCCTTATCTGCAGTTTTGCTTTCCAGTTTTAGTGACCCACAGTCAACTGCAGATCAAAAATATTAAATGGAAAATTCCAAAAGTAAAAAATTTACTGATTTTAAATTTCACTCTGTTGTTAATAGCCTGATGAAATTTTACACCATCCCCACTCCATCATGTGAGGGATATGAATCACGCCTATGTCCAGTATCCACACTGAATACACTACCCACCTAGTAACCACTTAGTAACCATCTGAGTTATTAGATTGACTATTGCAATATCACATGTTTATGTTCGAATAACACTTATTGTACTTAATAATGGCTCTGAAGCACAAGAGTAGTGACTGGCAATTCAGATTTGCCGAAGAGAAGAAATGAAGTGTATAAGTAAAAAGGTAAAAGTTCTCAACTTAAGGGGGGAAAAAAAATCACATGTTAACATTGCTAAAATCTGTGCTGTTTTTATTAATCTTTTACTGTACCTAATTCATAAATTAAATTTTATCATAGATATGTATGTATAGGAAAACATAGCATGCATAGGGCTTGGTACTATTACAGTTTTAAACATCCATTTGAGGTCTTGGAGCATATCTCCTATAGGTAAGAAAGGACTCTATAAGATAGTTTCCTCTACTCCTTTCCTTATGTTTGCAAAAACTTCTCTCATTTTCAGGAGGTTAGCAGAGGCATTTGATATCAGTGATGATTCTGATCCTTTTAATATACGTTCTTCAGGATCAAAATTCAGTGATAGTTTGAAAGATGATGCCAGGTATGTAACTTTTTTCTATTAATAATGGCTTAGGAGAGTATTTAGTATTTTAACATAGAAACTAATATGTATTCCTTCTGTGACTAAGGCAGGCAAAGTTTATTTACCTATTGTAAAAGATTGGGTGTTGTTTAATAAAAATCCTGCCTTAGTTTTTCAAAACTGTTTCCTTAACGGAACTTTGGTGGGGAGGTGGGTGCCCTGTGGTTGGAGTTGGAGCCTATCAAGAGCTAGAGTAGACTAAATCGTAGCATCTCTGAGCCACATTTCACCTCTGTCCACCCAAGTCTCACAATTACATGATTCTTACTTGGGTCAGTAGTAGTTCTTATTTTTCTCCTGTTTCCTGGTGCTCTGATGGCTATGTCTCCTCCTTTCTCTTCTCATATTTGTTCATATTCATATTCTCTCTCTCTCTCTCCCTCCCTCCCTCCCTCCCTCTCTCCCCTTTATCATGGCTGTCTGCTATCTGACAGTTCCTGACTTCTTTTCTGCCAGCATTGTACATTGTATGCTACTTTATAGGCAGAGGGTGAGTGGAAGGGATTCTTGGAAGAATAGAAACAAACAAAATTAACTGGTGATTTCTCATTTCAGGAAGGACTTAAAGTTTGTCAGTGATGTTGAGAAGGAAATGGAAACCCTTGTGGAGGCTGTGAATAAGGTTGAAGTCAAAACATCCAACTGGACATTCCTCTAAGGCCAGCTTGATAAGAGATCAAGTCCTAGAAACACCATCAGCCTAGAGTAGTTGTAGAAAAAATTCATAGTTTGCTTGAGGATTCTAATCTTTCCCCAAAACCCAGGCATTATAACATCCATGGAAGCTTGTCCAGGTTCAGTCATTGCAGAAAATAATATGCAGTCAAATTAAATGTTAATAAAAATCACAGCTCAGTGCTTCAGAGGGGGCAAAGAAACTCTGGACAAGGAATGATAGTCACATGACTAAGTAGAATATTTAGAACTCCTGCAAGGCCCTCAGATCTCAGAGGGCTGTGTGTGTGTTAGATAGCACACTCCTTCTTTGTTACTCCAAAGTCAGGACAGAAACTCTTGGATAAAGATAAAACTTTGTATGACTAGTGCTCAAAGAGTAATAGCAGGTAGACTCCTTAAAAAAAGGCCCAAAGCCATGTGCAGTTGCGCATCATTGTAATCTCAGAACTCAGGTAGTTGGTTGAGGCAGGAAGATCACAAATTCAAGGGCGTCAGCAACTTAGCAAGACCCTATCTCAAAATAAAAAGGCCTGAGCTACATCCCCAGCCCAGTTATAAGCATTTTCTATTTTTAAGATGATGTTATCAATCAGTTATCTATTTCCTCAATATAGGGAAAGAATAGTAAGAAAAGCCACAGCTTCCCTCCCATGAACAGAGACCACCGCCGAATCATCCATGACTTGGCCCAAGTTTATGGTCTGGAGAGCGTGAGCTATGACAGTGAACCAAAGCGCAACGTTGTAGTCACTGCCATTAGGTAGGTTAATCTGACTGTCACGGGAAGAACTCAGCAAGGCCAACTGGACCCAGGAGGCAGGATCTATTGGGATTTGCTTTCCTTTTGTCTCTTCCTTTTGGAAGAATAGAAGGGAAAGCTACTTTGCTGGGCCAGCCTTTCATTATGATCTGAAGATCTGAGCCAGAGGGTGAATTCCATGCTTCATTCCATAAGGCACACATACCCAAAGCCTCATGTGTGCCCTAATCTATGGAAGATGCTAGAGGATTTATTTCTGTAGGTAGAGGGAACAGACCTTGGGGGCCTAAAGGTATGCCTTTTCATCATATCTGTCCCTTTTCCCTTCTGTCTTTTATTCCTCCCTCTGTCCCTCCCTGGCTTCATCTTCCTAGCATGAGAGAAATAGAACAAATGCTGGACTCTGATTCAAGGCATACCATGTGAACAGTATTTTACCATCAAAGGAAACTTAGGCAGTAGTGTGAGCCAGAAGGGGAAAGGGAGGACCTAAGTTGGGTCTGGAAATATAGCTTTTCTAGCATGTGCAAGGCCCTAGGTTTGATCTCCAGCATCACAAAAAATTTTTAAAAAGAACCCAAGGGAGTCAGAGTTTCCCAAGGAAGAATAGTGAAGTGTAACATGAGGCAACAGGCCCAGCAGGGGTAGGTGGAAGAGATGGGGTTGAATGCAAGTAACCATGCCCAAGAGAAGACAGGTCATAGTAGAGAGTGCTCAGCAATTATAGTGCCAAAGTCACAAACTGAGTTTCTGACTGTCTGCTTATCTATACAAGTGATCGTCTTTGTTCATTACTGTGTTTTTTGACTCCTCAGGGGGAAGTCCATTTGTCCACCTACCACACTGACAGGTGTGCTTGAAAGGGAAATGCAGACACGACCTCCACCACCAATTCCTCATCACAGACAGCAGACAGACAAGTAAGAATTCTTCAGCTGTTTCCAAAGGGACCTGGCTGGTAGAGACGCCATCAGGGGCTGAACTGGCCTGGGCTGCACCAGCCACTACTGGCCTCTCTGGGCTTGGCCTTAGGGTGCCATGTTCAAATATATAAGGTTTATTTGGCTATCAGACACATTTGTTTAAGCCACAGAAGACAAGTTTGATGTTTGTAATACCAGTTTCACTCCAGGGAGTACAGTGACTGGACATAATTTCCACAATATAGGTAGAAAATGGATTTAGTCTGTCATAACTAATGATTTAGAACTGGAACATCACATAATTAACAATAGTCACTCTGGAGATGAAAGTGGGATTGGGGGTAAGAATTAGGCAGTGAAGAGGGTGAGTGGGGACTTCCACATTTTTTTGTCTACTTCTAAGTGGCTTGAATTATTTTTACCACAAAAACACATTCGTGATTTAAAGAAGAAAACAAGTTGGCAAGTAGCAAGTCTGCCAGATGTTTTCTCAAACAGGAGCAGAGAAAGAGCATATCCTCACTCTCTTCCTCTCCTTTGTCAAGAGGGGAGCCCAGCTGCCCTATTATGACCAAGGCAGCATGTCTGAAAATTACTCTGAAACCTAGAGAGTCTCTACTCCTTTCTGGCCTTCCACTCAGAAGTCCTAGCAGTAACTGTTCTGTACTTCCTGCACAAAACCTCTGGAAGGATAATAAGAGCAGTTTACAGAGTCACCATGAGGGTCAGAGCAATTGGTATTTCTATGTCTAAGCCTCAGCCAAGGGCCATGTAGCTCCATAGAGCCAGCTCCTCTCTACCCCTGGAAACCAAGCAGCCTGGACTCTGATGAACACTGTTCATTAGCTTATTTATGCCATGCTACCTTTTTTGTTTTTAACTTGTTTGATTTTGCTATAAAACTACTATGGAAGGCCAGACATGGCAGCACATGCCGGTGATTCCAGCCAACATGGTAGGCTAAGAAAGGAGGATAGCAAGCTCAAGGCTTCAACAACTTACAACTTAGTGAGACCCTGTCTCTAAATTAAAAAAAAAAAAAAAAAAATACTGTTATGGAGAAACTTTCAGGTTAGAATGGTATTAACTAATAAACACCTGTGTACCCATCACCAAATTTCAATAACCACCAGCTCGCATTTGCCTCTCTATCTTATCAAAGCTTCACAAGTGGCTAATCTGCTGATCCTTAACTTTCTGAAGACCTGTGTCTCTTTCCCCCAAAGAAGAAAAGATTGATTGTTCTTTTGTTTGCTTTTCAGGAATCCTGGGAGCAGTAATTTACAGAAGATAGCAAAGGAGCCAGTAATTGACTACTTTGATGTCCAGGACTGAGATCAAGATGCACTTAGATAAAAGAATAATTAGATGTAGTGGAGACTTATTTGCCAGCAGATAAATCATGCTTGTTCCTCACTGCCTGGCAGACCACAGCCTCATGTGCTGTCTTGTACTGATACATCCAAGCATGAGTGTTTCAGAAATCCCCTTGTCTATTCCTACATGTATAAAGTGTTTCGCTATGGCCAGATCTCTCATTGTATGGTCACTAGGTTTTCAGTGATATATTTAAAGAGTCTCCTCAAATCATCACTGTGATTGCTCTGAGGGTTGGGGGAATATTGGGTTTTATTTGGACAAATCAGAATTTTTGCCCAAAACTGGCTTCATGGCACTTAGTCATAGTTTCAGTTTTCCCAGTTGTTCCTCCTCCTGAAAATGCTTGCAACATCAGATAGATCTCTGCAAATTCTCAGCCTGAAATACCAAATACTAAATTTGTACACCAAATTTGAAATCACTCCTGTCATCTTAAACCTAACCATCTTTCCTAAGTGTTACTGTATTTTGCCAAAAGCTGTCTTGGAGCTATCTAGATGAACTTCTTTTTAATGTTTCCTAATACTGTCAGTTCTAGACCTACAAGAAAGTCAGGTTGCTTTATAGAATTCCATTTTCTCAAGTTCCTGATGCTTCTTATACCACATCACTGAGCCTGTCCAGTGACAGTTTAGCCATCTCCCATAATAAAGGGCGTAGAACAAGCTTTTCCTTTTACCAGATTCACACTGTGGCCTCTATGAACTGACTAGTGTAATCCTAACTCCTCTCTGGTTGATAAAGAGTCTCATATAGACAACTGTCCTGCATTGCTTTTTCCTAGGCCTTCAACAGCCATGTTGATTTTCTCTGAGCTCTGGACCTCTGAATATTCAAAGAAGTATGTGGATAGTCCAGAGCTTATGCCCAGAAGCCCACTGGAGGCATTCTTCAGGCTCCTTTAAAGCAGGTGTGTCAACAGTTAAATTAATTTGGCTCCCTTTGCATTGGTAACCCTCTAGTATGGAGACCAGATTTCCAGCAGCTTCCTTCTGCTTCAAAACAAACCTTGATCCCCAGAGCAGCAGAAGGAAATTTGAGATGTGAAATTCCAAATTCAGGCATTTTTGTAAGAAGAGCAGGGTTTCCCTTTGGTCCTCACCCAACCTACTTTGAAAGATTGAGGTATAGCATGGGAACAGACAACTGGAAAGAAATGACAGAAAACAACAAAACTTCCTCTCTTTGGGCCCATTTAGCATAGGGTCTGTGACCCTACACACAATAGAAATACCACAAGCATCTGTTAGGTCTTTAAAGTGGTGGATTAGGTGGGTGAACTCTGTGAAGGCATCTCAGAATCAGCAGGAGGCAAGAGGTCTGACTTCAGGTTCTAACTCTGCTCACAACTTGCCACTTGATGGAGTGGAAGTTTCACCTACCTCATCAGGGTTGTGAGGATTAAATGAAAAGCAGATGTGGAGGTGCCTGATTCATCAGAGGAACTCAAAGTTCATGAAAATTACATTTGGTATCTGGAAAAATTGGTAAGCATTTCTCCAGAATGCTATCCAAATAAAGGGATGGAATGCCTGCCAGGCTGCTCCTTATGAATGGCTGCATGCTTTCCAGATGCCACTTGTGTATTGGGACTACGAGAGGCAGATGTGCCGGGGCTTGAGGAAGAATTGTTCAGATTGGGATGAGACTGGAAAGGTAGATGTGTGTCAGCTGATGAGAACCACTGATGAACTCTAAGTAGAACAGCATGGCCAAATTCCTAATCCAGAGCAACAGTCAGCAAATATTTCAGTAAGCAACTAGAGTAATAGACTTTGTGCAACTTACAGTTTCTGTTAACAACTAGACAACTCTGCCATTGTGTGAACACAGCCATAGATAGTACATAATCTCACCTTACTTAGAATCACGTTTAGGGGGCTAGAGTTGTAGCTCAGTGGTAGAACGCTTGCCTAGCATGTGTGAGGCACATAAATAAAATAAATGTCCAGGGGCTGGGGCTATAGCTCAGTAGTAGAGCACTTGCCTAAAGTGTGAGGCACTGAGTTTGATCCTTAACACTACATAAAAATAAATAAAGGCATTCTGTACACCTATAACTATAAAAAAATTTTTTAAAAAAATAAAGGTCCATCAACAACTAAAAAAAAATTTAAAGAAAAATCACTTGTAACTTATATATGTTACAAAATATACTTTTGACTTTTTCCCAGCCATTTAAAAATTGTAGGGCAGGGCATATAGCTCAGTGGTAGAACACTTGCCTGGTTGCCTGAAGCTTCCATCCCCCAGCCCTGGTGGGGGACAGGGAAAAACATGAGGATATTTGGGTTAGGATGTAGCTCAGTGGAACAGCACTTGCCTGGCATGCATAAGGCACTGGGTTCAATCCCTATCACCACAAATTTTTAAATTGTGAATTACATTCTTAGCTCATGGGTTGTGCAAAAACGGGCAGCAGGCTAGATTTTTTTATTTTTATTTTTATTTTTTTTTTCCTTTCGTACCAGGGATTGAACCCAGGGGCACTTAACCACTGAGCCACGTCCCCAGACCTTTTTAATATTTTATTAGAGACAGGGTCTCGCTACGTTGCTGAGGCTGGCTTTGAACTCATGATCTCCTGCCTCAGCCTCCCCAGCTATTGGGATTACTGCCAACACAACTGGCTAGCAAGCTTGATTTGACCATGGACCTTATATTACTACCCTGTTCTAGAGAAGCCTCTTAGGTAAAAGTGTGTGAAAAGGATCGGAGGGCAGTTTTGATATATGAAGCAGAACCAAGAGGCTGCAGAGGTGATCCAGAGATCCAGATAAAAGAGGATGAGGGTGATAAGATTTGACCCTGCAAAGAAGAGATTCAGATCAGGGAGTTAGGATATGATGCCTGGGGTCTGCAGGGGAACCAGCCCCCTTCTGAGCTCCAAGGGAGCCCCAGGCCACCTCAGCAAGGGAATACTGTTTCTCATAGGTCTGTCTGATTCTTCACAGCACAAGCAGTCTTGAATACAATTTTACACTTGGATCCTGTGTTTTAAGGGAATCTGTGGACCAGGATCCCACACCATTGCTTCTTGAGAATCGGGTCCTGTCTTCTCCCCCTTCCAGTTCTACACTTTCTTAACAGGATTTCTTTCATGGGTCAGAATTTTCCAGAAACCAAACTCTTATCTCTGGAATTCCCTCTGGCTTGTCTTGCAGGACTGGCTCCTCTCAGCAGCAGTGCCAGTCTGATGCAATGGGTGGGAGGACTGGAGATGAAGCAGGCCCTCCTGATTGCAGGATCTGCCTGAAACAGCTCTGGATCCTGTCTTAGCCAGGCCTGAGAACAGATCAGGGAGGGGAAAATGGAATGTCAGACTTGAGGGAAATGCAAAGTCCAAGTAATTGGGTCCTGTAGATTTAAGATTGGGGGTGGGGGGTGCCCTTCCTATGATGCTGGCCTTCTTGCTTCATGCCTGAAAGCCTGGGGACCTTGTTTCCTAAGAGAACCTTGCCAGGGTACCTCTTCATTAGTCTACTCACCCACAACCCAAGGGAAAGTTCTGCCTCCCAAACCCCAGACAGCTTTAGCATGGATGTCCCATACTGTCTTCCATGGTCTTTAGAGTGCGAGGATCCCCAGGAGATTTCAAAGCCACTCTGACCCCTCTATCTACAAAGGCTAATCCAAGAAGAGACATGCCACATTAGGCCTTGTGTTTGCCAACCTAGAAGCATCCTGTACCAGGAGGGAGATGACTCCTCAGAAAATTGAGTTGTTTGCCTCTCTGATATCTGCAAACAGAGCTCATGTGGAAGTCCTGCCCATGACCAGGTTTGCCCTGAGCTCAGGCTTTATGAGGTTGCTTTTTCTGATGCACAGCCTCCTGGAAAACCTGAGAAAAAGCTAAATATATAGAATTTCTGTCTTGCTGCCTCAATTCTCTCCTTGGGCAGTTTCTTAACAGTGAGCATTGGTTTCTGCATCTGAGGTAATGGGTCCTGCCCATGTGCTGTCCTGAGTTATCTTGAGGGTAACACTTGGGTCATAAAGATCAAGAGAGTCTCCCCATGCCACATGGCATCAGCATAGTCAAGCCTCAAGCCTATACCAGGACAGCCTCAGCAAGTAACTACTGGGGGTCAGGGGAGGAACAACAGTAGTCAACTGCCTTGGCAAGGACAGTAGCTTTCAGTCACCTAACCATGTACTCCCTTCACCCACTTCACCCAACATGAGTGAGTCAAGTCCTCATCTCCTCACACTTGTCCAGGAGTCTCTTCTAAAAGTAGATAACAGTTATAGAGAACATAGAAGGTACTCAACACAGTGCCTTCTATGTTCTTTTTCATTCCTCAAAGCCCCAGAAAATATGTATTTGAAACCCCTTCACTAGTGGGGAGAGTTAGATCACTTACCCAGCTCACGCAGTGGACAACTGAGGATCTGAAATTCCTACTGAACTCCTGTATCTTCTCACGCCAAGCAGAGGCAACTTGGACAGCTCATTTGGAGTCCCTGGAGGAAGATGGCCCAGGTCAGGTCAAATGGGAACAAAGCTTATATCTATGACCCCAAGCAGAATAACCAGAGGATAGGACTTTTCCCACAATGACCACTAGGGTGCAATATGGATCCCCAAACCAGATGGGTGGGGGAGTGTTCACATTGCCTCAGGAAAACTATTTAAAACATTTGAGTGGCATTTATAACCGGTGTATTTAAAATTTATCACATTTGCATTCCTTTTTTTAATACTGCCTTCTCTCTACTTGTTGATATACAGAGCATAGGCACAGGGGGAAAACATAAGGCATGCAGATATCTGAAGGAAGACTATTCCAGGCAGAGGGAACAGCCATTGCAAAGGTTCTACAGTGGAAACATGCACCGTGAAGGAACAGCAAGGCCATCGGGCTGTAGGGGAGAGTAGCAGGGATCGGAAAGGTAACAGAATTTGTTGGTGTCAGGCCTTGTCAGCCACTGGAAGATTTAGGACAGGAAAGATCTCACACATTTTTAAAAATAATCATCCAGCTTCTGTATTGAGTCTAGATGCCTGGGCAAGGGAAGAGGTTTAGGAAAACCGTCAGAAGACCACTGCTGTAGGGCTGGGGATATGACTCAGTGGTAGAGCATTTACCTGTCATGCATGAGGCCCTGGGTTTGATCCCTAGCACTGGAGAGGTGGAAAAATAAATAAATAAATAAAGAAGATCACTGCTGAAATCAGAGAGACAATAGTGACTTGAGCTGGGGTGGTGAAAGTGGTTGTATTCTGGATACATTTGCAGGTAACACCTAAGAGATTTACTGACATGTGGGATGTGAGAGAGAAGAGGAGTCAGGAATGACTTCAACGTTTTTGGCCTGAGCAGTTGGAAGACTGAATTTGCCATTTACTGAGATAGGAAAGAATGTGGGAGGAGCAGGTTTGGGGGATGAAAATCTGTCCAGTAGGTGGTTGTACATGGGAGTCTGAAGTCTGGAGTTTGGACTGGGCTAGAGATCTAATTTGGGGATCTGTTGCATATAATGGTATTTAAAGGCTGATGAGATCATAACTGGAGGGCGGGGAAAGAGAAGAGGCACAAGGACTAAGCCCTGAGCGTTCTATCATCAAGGGGACAGGGAGCTGAGAACAGGGTGGAAGAGCTGAGGAGTGGCACCTCCATCCACTGTCTGCCTTGCTTCCTATTCTACCGTGGCTCTCTGCTTCTGCAGCACAGCCACCTCA